GAGTTAAAAAAGCTGTTCAGGACAACCAACAACTACATGAATAGTTTCCTGGGCATTAATATAATTTGGAAGTAACAGCAATGGGGTTTTTAGTTTTGGGGGAGGGAGGGGGAGTTGTTGATTGTTTTGGTTTTTGAGTTTTTGTGTTGGTTTGGTTGGTTGGGTTTTTTTGGGGGCGTTTTTGTTTTTTGGTGGTGGGTGGTTTTTTTTTTGTGTTCTGGTTTTGTTTTTTTTTTTAACCTGGCTTGCTAATGGACTTGGAAACAAATTGGTGGTATGAAAGGAAGTATCCATTCTCATACTGAATTTTTAGTCTGTGTGCTCCTGAAATTATTGTGTAATTATGTGGCTACTGTATCTATCTTCTCTTCGTGGCAAGGAGGCACAGTGCTGTAGAGGGATGGGAAGGAGAGGGAATATTTTAGAAATTGTTGTGGGAACTAGTACTCTCATAAATTTTTGTCTTGAATTCCAAGACATTCATACCTAGCTGCCTGACTGGATGAGGGGTGTTTTTTTTTTGTGTCAGAATTCAGGGGTTCTTTCCTTTAAAAAAACAGTGTGGCAGTTGAAGCTATTTCTGGGAGAGCAGCTTAATAATTGTTTATTAAGCTTTTTCCTTCAGCAGAGTCTGCCTTTTTGGCAAAGTGTGAATGTGTTCAGCACATGACTTGAAGTACTCAAGTTCTTTAAACTAAATGTTAACAGACTGTACGACATCAGGCAATAAAGCCTCATAGTATTTCTGTACCCAGTGCTCTTGTTCCACATCTCTCTGCATCCCATGAGGATGGTTTCCAAAGTAAGACATGCATTTGGAGTGTTGTGGCTGCATCACCCAGGGCTGAGCTCTGAAAAGTGCTACCTGAAACACTTGGTAAAGCCTAGAGAGGAGAGTGGACCTGCACCCCAGTGCTACTCCTTTCCTGTTTTAGCTGCTAAGTAATAAAGGGAGGCAAAATTTGCCGTTTTGTGATTAGCGCAGGGGGTTTTATTCTGCCTGTCTGTAGTAGAAGGGACTGATTGTTGCTCCCCTTGCAGAGAGGGAGCCCAAGCAACCCGATGAGGAGCAGGCCTTTCTCCGGTGCTGTGGAGCGGTGCTGCTGTTGTGGCCTGCGGGGGAACGAGAGACCGCACCAAAGTTGGACTGACTGAAATGCACTGTGGTTGTAAAAATGTGAACTGACATACGACACAAATAGAGTTCAGAGGTGCTCTCCCGGAGAGCTAAGTTCGGGAGTGCCTGCCAGCTAATGGCAACAGTGAAATAGGCAATGTGTATTAATGAGATAAATGGTTCTGCCAAGTACGTTGCCGCAGTGCTTTGCACGCTGACAGAGCCACGTCCGTGCCCAGAGCCCTGCCGGTGCTGAAGGCAGCAGCTCTGCGGGGCCGAGGCGCCAGTCCCGGCGGCGGCCGCGGGGCTGGGGCGGCTGTGGGTGTGGCGTGGGCTGGGAATTGTCTTCCCTGAGGACTTGCAGTGGGCGCGGGCGCTGCTCCCGCGCTGCCGAGCCCCGCGGGCCGCAGCTCTCCCCGCGCCGCCGGCTGAGGGGCGGTGCCGGGAGCGCCGTTCCGCCGCCGCCGGTACCTCTCCCGCCGAGCCCCTCTCACTGCCGGGCTCCCTCACTGCCGAGTCCTCTCCCGCCGAGCCCTCTCGCCGCCGAGCCCCTCTCACTGCCGGGCTCCCTCACTGCCGAGCCCTCTCACTGCCGGGCTCCCTCACTGCCGAGCCCTCTCGCTGCCGAGCCTCTCTCGCCGCCGGGCTCCCTCACTGCCAAGTCCTCGCTCCCGCCCCGTGCCCCGGGGCTGAGGGCAGCCCGGGCCCCGCTGCTGCCGGCCCAGCAGGGCCGGGGGAGGACGGGGCGCAGGAGGCCTGGGGAACAGCTGCCTGGTGAGGCAGGGGTGCCGATGGCAGGAAGCTGAAGCCAGGCGGGAGATGCTGGGTGTTCGTGCCGAGTCACACGTGGAGTGGGATTAGCTGGCTGTGGGGACACGGGTGAACACCAACACCCTGGTCTAGCTGTATTTTCCGCCGCTGAGGCGCTGGCTGCTCAGTGCACAATGAGCAGGGCCATAGCTCATCCCTCCTTACCATCTGTGGTGTCCCGCGTGTCCAGCCCGGGGAACGCAGGATCCAGGGAGATACAGTGGATCTATGTGTGCACATTCCTTTAAGCCCTTCTTCCTGAAGGGATGGAGTAGTTATTGTGCAGGAGTAATCCCAAAGATACGGGGGGGGGGGGGGGGGCGGGAAATCCCTATTATAAATTGTCTTTTGTGCCTTTAATTTTGTATGGCTTTGTTAGTATGTACCTTTATTATTCCTGTTATAGCATAGACATCATTTCTTCATAGTTTATTCCCACAGTTGGATAAGGTGTGCAAAGATCTTGGAAGATGGATCCTGAAATACAGAAAATGAGGGAAGTTGTCCTTGTCTACCTTGACAGAAGTGGTGGCCTTCAGAAATTTGTGCATGATTGCAAAAAATATAATGGTATTACTCAATACATAGTCTGTTAAATTGATACATAATGTTAACAAATCCATTATTTTAAAATACTTTTTGCTCCTACAGACTCAAAACAAAGTTACGCTGTTTATCGTTTCATTATTTCAATTAATCCTTCTGACATTGCTGAACTAGATGCAACTCTTGGAAACTATATTCTTCATAAGCCCCTACAAGCTGCACAGATTTTTCAGTCAGTAAGTGTATAATAGATGAGTAGAAAGTCCATCATCTGAATTTTAACAAGATTTTCCTTTCTTAAATGAAGTTATTTTTCCCATTACAGGTATGCTTTGTAGCTATTAAGACATTATCATTAATTGAACAATTGCAGACAGAAGCCCAGGTGAGTCTGCATTTAGATCTTGAATCTTCTAAGTATAGTGAAATATTAACAAATATTGTTGTATTAAGTTTTCATTTTCCCTTTGGTTGCAGTATTATTTATAATTAAAAATAGCTGGAAGTCTCACCCTACCACATTGCAATTGTGAGATTAATTAATATGACACCCAGTTACTTAATGTGTTTCTGAATTTTTTTAACAGTTATGTATCACATTGTGTGTTTGTCCATGAAAAGTAAAGCAGTTTTAAATAAAAATATGTTTTTATATTAATGCTATTGTGTCTCTTGCTAGATCAGTATATTGCTGAAACCAACACATTTGCCACCTTTACCAAGTTATGTTCTGAGTCTTTCTGCATATCCCTTTAATTACACTTCTCAAAGATTTTATATGTCTGAAGGGATAGTGATTGCAATGGGAACTGTAACAAAATACACACAAGGAGCAAGATTTCTTTGTACTGAGGAAACCTGCCCATTCTCTGAAGGTAGTAAAAAATATAAAATTAATCAGTACTATTTAAAAACCTTTTAAATAAATTTGGTAATAAGACATTAAAAGCCTAGTCTAACAAAGGTGTTTTCCTATATAGTTTTGTTACACATACATTTCTGTAATGAACACAGCAGGATTTTTGTTAATTGAAAGGAGTGGACTTGCTCAGCATTATTAAATGTTTTGGAAGAACAGCTATGCCAGCAATCCCTTTCCTTAATGCTGAAGAAGTTTATAGGAGAAACAGTTTATAGGAGAAAACATAAGTCACCTGTTTAACTTGAATATATTTAATATCGTAAATAACTTAATACTTAAATATCTTAAATGACAATATTTCTAAGCTAAACTACTAACATACCTGTTTCCTTGGAAACTCTGTCTATAAAAAAATGCCACAGAACATGCTTAAGCAGATGGCAAGAACTTCTAGCATAGAACAAGTGATGCTTTGATGAGTAGTTGACTTCTGCGGAACTGCTACTTTGAATAGTATTACTGAACTTCTTGTACCTTTGCAGAGAGAGGCCCTAAGTACTTTTAAGGCTGTTTTCTTCCTTCTTCTGTAAGAGACTATACAGTTATAAAAGAGATGCAAAATCCAGAAGTTTGGGACTGCAGATTAAGTCATACAGACATCTTTACGAGGACACGTACCTCTAATAGTGACTATCCATATCCCATGTCATTCCCATGTCGGCAGAAGCCGCGGTGGCTCACTCCTCAAGAAAGCCCGGCCAAGCTGTTCATTTTGGAATGTACAGTAGGAAACTCTGCCATCTCGTGGCCAAACACAATAAAGTAGATGGATTATTTTAGTGGCGTATGTAAGGGAGGCTCATCTGAAGAAACACATAATACATTTAGAATTTCACTGTCCAGTATTTAATTGCTTCTGTTCTCCATGGGAAATTTAAAACTAGAGCTATGCCCTCCTTTTAAATGGTTGGTAAATTATTGCTTTTTTTAGGGTTTAGGTGCATCAGAGTGCATTGTCCTGGAGCTACAGAGTCTGCTACAGTGAGGACTGATTTTGTGTGTAGCTTGTGTTCTTCACCACTTCAGGAAGACATGAAATTTAGAGTACTTGGTGGTAGGATCTATGTAATCTTACTTTTAGATCTGGTAGTTTCCTACTTCTGTTACACAATAAGTAAACAAAATAATTAAGTGGAAAAAGCCCACTTAAAACCAATCTTTTAAAACAAGATGTTTTCAAGAAAATTAACCTTTTTCTTTGCCTTTGTTTTGAAAGATAAACAAATAGTTGAAATGATTGATGCTAAAATTCTGAATGCTTTGAAAGGATATTCCATTGATAAATCACATTTTAGGATTCAGGCATTTACATTGTTCTTGAGAGGTAAGCTGAACTTTGTAGTTCTGTCAAAAATGTTTTAGAAATGATCTATTAATAATCCCCCCCTTTTTTTTGGTGTTAAAATGATGAAAGTTATTATTTGTATTGCAGTTCTTTTTATATTCCCCCATTAATTTTATAAAAAGTAGCTAGGTGTCAAAGCATTGTGCACAGGTGATTGCAGAGTACATAGCAACATTTTTGCGACACTTTTACATCTCCATTTAATTAAAATCCCCTGGCCAGCTCGGCAGTGTCTTATTCTGTTGCTTGGTTTTCCCTCCTTTCTACTTCCTTTGGTCGTGCTGTTCTGTACTAACTTCATGTTTATTTAACGTCCTTCCATAATCTAGCTGTTTTCCACATTCTATCAGGATTTTTGGGTTCTACTACCACTGCCATCCACTGCAAATATAAAATGGTTTCTAATGTTTATAGCTAACTAAAATCACAACTCAGCAATGTACTTCCATTAATTCTTAAAAAGACCCAAAACAAACACAGAGACAAGAAACAAAAAAAATCCTCATCCATTCCAAAATTCAAGGGAATTCTGGTTCAATAAATGGTTCATTTATTGAAAACTAAATATAAAGAACTAACAGTACTAAAATTATAATAAAAATTTGTAGAACAATCTATGGTCAAGGTACTGAGAGTTGCACGCAGTACATTTCAGCTGGCTCTAGTGATCAGATACAGTGTTTCTCAGGCTGAGATTGAGATCTGCTTGGATTTAATTCTCATTTTCAAAAAATAAATGGGACTTGGTTTTCTAATGTGCACAAAAATATAAAAGTTCACAAAGCTATTTTTGAAATCTCTGTAGTTTTTATCTCCTCTTTATTGTGTTGGGTTTTTTCTCTGATATTTTATAGGACGGTGACTGATAACAGTGATGCCATAAACTTCAGAGTAGGAAATATACTTGCAAAAAAACTGTCCATATTCTTTTCATTGCAGGACTAAATGCATTGTCTATTTTCTTTATAATGAAATCTGTTTTCCCTAACCTGGTGTGCCTTCCTTATCTTTTAAACTAAATAATTAAAATTGTATGTTTCATTTTATTCTAACCCATTATCAATCTGGCCTCCAGCTGTTTTCTGCCAGTGTTAAATCATAAAATCAAACATTCAGAATGTGTAGAAGTTTTCTGACCATGGCTTTAAAACTGTTTTTATGCCCTAACATATCTGTAGCTTTGCCCCCTGTACTTAGTTTTTTATTATTTGCAGATGAACTGGCCAATAAAATGACAATAGGAAACCACTACAGGATTATAGGAATTCCAGCTTGTGTACAAAATGGCTTACAAGTGACTGCATGTATAGAAGTCAATAGTGTACAGCTCTATAAACCAAATGGTAAGAAAGTTCCATTAAAAATTGACCTAAACCCTAGAAAACCTCCTAGAAAAAAATCTTGAGAATTGGTAGAGTTCTTATTATATAGAGGTCCAGATTACAAAACCACTCACGGACTTTCCTCTTACAGTCTGAAATGTGTACTTGCTGTTATTCGAGAATATCTGCTTTTACCTGCTTTCCATGCATTGGCAAACTCCCTAATTATTTGGTAGTTCTTCAACTTCTCTTTCCATCTTCTCCTATCTATTGGAAAGTACTTTGTAATCATATAAAATGAACCTGAGATTTCAGTTTGACTTTCCTTTCTTATTCCATGAGTTTTAGCAGATCATGTCTGCTACCTTTCTAGAAGTAAAATTAACAGTGTCAGATGCTTACATTCTGAATTTGTGCTTAATACAGAGATATATTTGTTCTTGGTAAGTTTTTGTATGAAGACTCCAATGGTTATTTGTTCTAACTTACCTGCATAGATTTCTTTAATGTGTTTGTTCACCTGTACTTTGTTTCCATTAGGTACTTCTTTTCTCAGTGACAATTTTAAGTATCTGCTCTCACTGACTTCAAGTTCATGCTGGAGGTTCACTGCTGTCCTGGCCAACATCTTTGCTTCTCAAGTTGTTCCACCAGGCACTTACAATACTCTTAAACTTGCAATATTGCTGAGTCTAGTACAGACATGTGAAAAAGAAAATGCAGATTATCTGGATCTCTTGATTATGACAAGTGATACACTAGTAATTGACAGGTAAAGAGATTCCTTTTTTTTCACATAAATTAGAATTTAAAATCTAGTCTTTTTAAAGATAATAGGATTGGTCCTACATGAAAAGCTAGAGACTTTGTTTTAAAAGAATACATAATGCTCCAACTTAGTTAAATACTCAAGTTTTATCTCTTGGACATTTTTGTTTCTTTCACATGATAACTGTAGATCAGAACTTCATTAATCATAAAACATACAAAAACTCTTGTAAGATTACGGTAAGAATTTAACACTAGCACTGTTTTGCAGAGCTCAGATAAAAGCTCATTCTTCTAAAATCAAAACTGAAGGCTGTTCCAGAAGCTGGTAACAAAAAAAAAACCCAAAAAACCTCAACTTTTCAAACTTCGTGTCAATGTAAGCCCTCTCATCACTGATTCCCAGCTATCAGCCTTTTGTATAATTAAGTAGTGTATAAATAGATCCTTACATTTTTATCTCTTTTTCATAAAAACCATTCAAATAAGCTATCAGAATTCACATGCATCTTTACACATAGATCATAAATCTGGTTGTTGTTGTTGCCTTTAAATGTTTTTCACTATGCGTTTTATGTATTTACCTATTCATGCAACAATAATTTTGCATGAATAGTAATTTTACATACACTGCAGGAAAGTACAATATGCTCAGATTTACATTAATTCAAGCAAAATTACTTTCTCCTTCCACAGCTTAAGATCTCTGAAAGGGGCATGAATTTTCTCTTCATTTGGAAGTTATTCAACCAAATCACTAATATTTTTTGTTGTGAAAAAAATCCCAAAACTCTGACCTTTTTAAAATTTAGTTGTAGAAATTAGTTCAAATTGTTAAAAATGTGAACTGCAAGATTTCTTTTCTCCCAGGTTAAGATTAAGATGTCTTAAGACAACAGCAGTTCAGTGTTTTAACAATCAAAATACCTGGTTAATATTAAATCAGTTGCACACTGTAAATCATGATTTGATATTGTAATTTATACTATCTTGCATGTGCACAGTATTCACTGTCAGAAGCCTGTTGAAGTAGGCATTTCCTACGTATTTCCATTGCTGCAATACCCTATTTACTAATTTTACTTAGTAATTTTCTCCCAGGTCATAATAGTGGGGCAAACCATGCTCTGACATCTTAAAATCATTAAGAGCCTTTGACTGTGGAACCAGACAGACAATTTGCAACCTCTCTGTGCCAAAGAACATAGTATAGGGGATGAAAAATATTTTATATCTTCTTTTTCCAAAAGAATTGGAGGGGAGTGTGTAACTCAGGAAAGCAGAGCTTGCAAGTTCCAGCCTTTTCATTTTTCCCAGATGGCCAGAATTACTAATCCTCTAAACTTTTAAGTCACTGGAAAAGTTTCTGTAGAAAAGAAAGAGGAGTTAACTATGTGGGGTAAAATTATGAGATGTCTTTGATTTCCTAGGATTTACCATGATTTGCCTCATGTTTAATGTATAAGCAACAGTATCTTGATGACAGCTCTTGGAAAGCAGGCTAGAACCTTTTGCATTTAAACAATTAGTTTTGATGCTAGTTTCACTCTAAGGTTTTTTTGTTGTTGTTGTTTCTAAGTTAGTCTTAATACTTACTACGTTTTTTTAGAAGGTAATAATTTAAAAATTTATGACTGACAGCATTATTTAATCCTCCAGGCTTCTGAATTACAGCTTATGTCTTCTGCCTCGTGGCATACGACACCCACCTTCCAGTGACATTTTTCCTTCTGTGTCCAAAGATAAACATGGAACTGGAAGTGCCAGTATTCAAGCCTGCAGTGCTGTGCTGGCCAAGGGTGGCATCTGTTACATAGGAGACTTAAGTTCATATAAAAAGGATAAACTTGAACTTCTACAGTCTGGTAATCTCCCACCTCCTAACAAATGAGGGTACAGAACTAATAAAATATGCAATATCAAGGCTAGGTTTGTTCCCCAGCTTATAGCCCTCAAATGCTGCAAAAACCTGTACACTGTTTTTAATGCATCTGTGTAAAACACAAAGACAAAAAAGCCAAGGTCCTGTAAATTTAAATCTGCAACACTATAGACATTATTTAATCATAACAATTCAGCAAACTCATAATCATGACTGATTTCAGAATGTGTATGGGACTAGAATTTATAGCTAAGCTAAATCCATCACGAAACTGATTAATTTTGTCTTATCCTAGTGCTAGAGAGCAGAACAACAACAGTATTTATTCCTGGGAAGAAGTATGGAGAAGAGGCTGACCAACAAGTTACTGTTTCAGTTCAGACCAACTTTTGGTCCTTTGTAGATGTGGACTCTTCCTCAAAGAAACATATACAAAAGGAGAACTTTCTAATTGGACAGATGGTAAAGCACATGCCTTGTTATGACAGGAACTGTGCTATAGCTGTCACTGATGTTTATTTCCACCAATAAAATAATGAAAACAATAAAACTTGTTAGTAGTTCCCAGAAAGTCACAACTTAAATAACTTTAAATCAAGTATCTGCTAAAATGAGATAGCTTTCCCAAAAAAGTAGGTGTCATTCAAACAACATTTTACCAAGTAGTACAGGTAATTAATTAGATAATCTTGCAGTATAAGTGGATATAGGATATTTCAGATATAAAACACCGTGATGCTTCTACAAGTCAAAACCCCAAAATAAAGTAGATGTTTTCTTTCTATGGGTCTTTTCTTTAGGATGTGAGTTTGATTCCAGTTAACCTTGTAGATGGTTTTGGGCTCTTGATCAACAATGAGTTTCCTTCCTGTCGCCTGTCTTCTCCTGTTGTACATCATACCTTGAAAAAAGCCATTAATCCTGAAGCCATGCTGTACAAAGTCTCACAGCAGTTCAGAACACAAGATTACGAGGAGGTAATAACAAATTAAACACAATTAATTAGAAATGCATTATATATTTGTGAATATCATACTGGGTTTGGCATCATAAAGTTTTCTCTGCTTTCTGCTTACTTTTAATACTCACTGTCTGCCCTTCCCCCCACCATATTTCCACTAGCACTATTAGGATCACTGACAAAAGCAGCTTCAGATCTTGAAAAGGGTCAGTATAATAAATACAGTTTGATCGTGTTTCTGGAAAACATACTAAATTAATATTCATATGAGAACAGATCTCCAATATCTATTTTTGACCAAAAAGTTTACAACCAGTAGTAGAAGTTAATATTCCATTCTAGTTGAATTGTCAGTATCTGTAGCATAACTAACAGATGATTCCCTCTTGGAAGTGTTCAAGGTTAGGCTGGACAGGCCTCTGAGCAACCTGGTCTAGTGGAAAGTGTCCCATCGGAGTAAAGTTGGAATGGGATAACCTTTAAGGTCCCTTCCAACCCAGACCATTCTATAATTTTGTTTACTATCCAAGATGTGTCCTTGTTATTATCCTTCATATTTTTCTTATTCACTATAGCCAAATAGTGACAAATGTCTTTACTAGTAAAGCTATTGGTAGAATATATTGTCCAGCCTGTATTACTATGTCACTGGTATATTAAAATGTGTGAGAAGAGGTCAATTCCTTATTTTCCTGTGAAATATTTAAAATGTATGCCCTCTCTCTAGTTTATTTTGTTTGCTAGGAATCTTCATGTTGAACTGAGTTCAGAAGCAGAAAGTCTCATTCAGGGCTATTATCTTGCAAGTCGCAGGGTGAGAAGAGATTCCATTCATGGATCAACACTATCAGCCTCGGCACTAAAAATTCTGTACGTCCTACTTTCCATTTTCAAAGAGAAACTGTGCTCATCTGCTCAAGAACTTGTTCAATAAAAAGCTACATAAGACTTGCATTTTGAAAAGTTCAAGCATAATCTTACTTACTATTTATGAATACCATTTTTTTAATATATTGACACTGCTAAACTTTGCCAGGCAAAAGAAAACTAAAAACCCCAGCTATTTACAAAACATGTATCATTATTAAAGCTATCTAGAAAAAAAAGGGGATTTAAATATGTACAGCTTTATTATGGGAGCAAACAAAATATCAATGGATAACATGCAAAGTTCCACTTTTTAGCACAAAAAGTTCATGCACAATATATATTTTGTCAGTGGTAAGTGGAACTGCACAGCTGAAGTAGGAAAAAAACACCCCAGTATTAACTTTTAATTTACACAAGTGATTGATACAGGGCAATGCACATTGCATTCACACCTGCAGTTACTTTTTATTTCTGACATGCTTATATTGATCTCTTAGGATTTCACTGGCCAAAGCTCATGCCAAGCTCAGTTTAAGACAGAGAGTACTTGAGGAAGATGCAGTGATTGCAGTCTTGTTACTTGAGTCATCGCTGACCCTAAAACATGGTAAATAATGCACAACAGCTCCTTAGGCTTGGGTGCATCACTGTCGCATTTTGTCAGTCTGAAAAAATTCTACATCCATTGATTGCAATAGCAGGTAATTTTAAATCGAAATCCAGAACGTCTAATGTTAAAGACTGGCACTGGAGAAGTCTGTCAGTTTGTCTCAGTGCTGTAACAAGGCCATAGGCCAGCACCAAGTCTGTCCTTCACACTGGTTTATTTAAGGCATTGCTTCTCTAACACTGGCTCACGTTAAACTAAGGACAGATTTTTTTCCCTGGGAAAACCAGAAACATTCGACTTTTTTTGTTTATTAAGCATCAGTCATATTTGTTCCCACACAGATTTGGAAGAGAGGCAAGAATTATCATCTAGGATTGCATTACTAAGTAGTTTGCATCACAGTTCTTTTTTTCCCCTCAAAGTACTGGCAAATACTAAGTCTTACAGCTTAATGTCTTCTCTGCCTAGGCACATCTGCACTGTGTGTAGCACCAAATCCTGTGTTTCCATTTGACCTCAGTGATGAAAACTGCCTGCAACAGAGAGATATTTACCTCATGCAGTGTCACCATCAACTGCTGAAATTTATTGCTGCCTATAGCCCAGGAATTCACATTAACACTAATGAAGAGTAAAAACTCCACTCTAAGTAAAGCCTGGGGCTTTGGCTTTTTGAGAGCCTACAGTTATAAATACAAAATTACTAAAAACTTAGAAGACAGTCCAGTGATGTTTTACCAAGGAATAAAGCACAGCTGACAGGACTTGAATTACAGGTTTTGTGAGTTATTTGAAGGCACCAGGGACATCTTCATCCTGGAAAGCCATGGCTTCAGAATATAGCCCCAACGAGAACTTCTCTTCCTGGTTACCACTCTCCATTCAAGGAGTAATTTAGGATTCACGATTTTTAATAAGACTACAAGTAAAAATTACACCACCAGTTCAGAATATGTTTCATTTCAGCTACCTGAATTTTGCAGTTTTGCTTACTGCTTCCTTCCAAATGTATCACCCATCCAAAGGGTTAAGGAGTTGTAAGAACATTAACTCTTCATTGTTTAAGTCAGCAGTCTTCACTTACTCACGGTGTATGGATTTTGAAATGTATAAAAGTATTATCATACTGCTTCATGTCCTGTGTCTTTTTTACATGAGCAACACGTACAGCAACATGAGATTAGACAGGGATGCCAGATGCTCCTGAAACCAAAACCCAAACAAAAAAAAAGCCTGCAAAACAAACCAACCACAAAAGAAACCCACCAAAGCACCCCAACCTGCAAAACCCAGTGTTTCCACATTATTTTATATAGACTGCAGGGGATAGTAGAGTGCTAGTTAGGTAAAAGAATATTGGACAACCTGGTAGGCAGGTAGCTCAATGAGTTCAGCTCTACCTCACTGTAAAAACAAATGAAGAATGTGTGGTAGGAGATGAGGTGTTTGGAGCACCCTATGCTTCCCCAGCTATGGGCTTTCCTGTTTCATCTTCATAGTAAGGATATAGCACTAGGCACAATCCTCAGCAAGCCTTGCATCCAAGAAATACACCTTAAATAAAAAGGCTGCAGTAAAATTGTCCAGACTTCCTGTCAAATCTGCACAAGCTGAATAATTAAAGCTTGTGTTACTCCTACCCAAGATGTCATCCAGCAGGATCAGAGTGCTACTGCTCCCATAGCCTCAACAAAAAAATAAGTTGCTGAAAACAGAAATCCAAGATTTTATTCATACCTACTACTAACACTGTAAACACTCATTTAGACAACACAAATTTTCCCACATTTTAATCTTTGTTTTATTCACTTTTGATCCATTTATTTGATACACTCAAAAATTCATACTAAGTTCTAAGACTGCCCAGAAGGCCACTTCTCTTTCTAGAGCAACACAGTACCCCAGAACTTCATTCCAGGATTATTCATTTTCAGTGAGCAGCCACTCCCCTGCCGTACTATGGAACCAAGCAGTATTTCTGACGAGCAGCAATGGTAATGGAAGCATTTCCAAGTGCATTACAGCTCCACATTCAAGGCTTCTGTTTTCAAGCTAAGAACAGTAACAATAATGAGTTAGTTTCCTGTACCCCTAATTAATCTTATACAAACGTATTACCCTCACTGGCATTTCAGATCTCAAGATACACATCAAAACACATTTCAGATGGGTAAACGGCAAAGGTCTCATCATTATGCCAGAAAAATTACTCTTTGAGTGTAGACTGAAATAGAATTCCTTTCTAAATCACTATTTTTGAGAAGCAATATTAAGGGGTTTTCTGCAGAAAGAGCACAACATTTTAGCCTTGCTTCTCTCCAGTTTCTCCCATGAGCTCTTGAAAATTGGAAGACTTGTAGCAGTACCACAAGGAAAGGCTGGTAGCCAACAGGGCCAGTACAGGCTTTCCCTGGATGGCAGTACAGCCTGCAGGAACCTCAGCAGTGTGACAGTAAAAAAAGCAACTGACCTCCTTAAAAACCCACACTTCTAGAAGTGAGTAGACTCTC